TCATATATACTTTTATAAAATTTTAAACAACCCACAGGAAATATTCTTTCAAGTCCGTCTGCCTCTTAACTTTCCAAAATCAACATTCTAGTCCCTCTTTTGCTGTTTCCCCAAAATTAAAAAAATTCTTTTTAGTCCTTAAACTTACATGAAGCTTCTTTCATCCAGGATAGAAGGAAGCTCTCCCAGCATAATTAAACTTGCCCTTCAGAAGGTTCTTAACATCCAAAAAATCAATAACCAGCAATTTCCTAAAGTAATTAAGAGAGGAAGTGGGCAAACCCAGTGTCCTTTTGAAGGCACTGAACTGCAACTTAGACAGGATGATTCTCCCCCAGTTCCCAGAGCTCTCAAATCCACTGGAGATTGCTATTCTATGATCTCCTTGTGGGGAGCCTCTGTATGAAGCAAACTTCTGGGCAATCCTAGTTCTCTCCTTAATTTGGAGAGGGGTTACGAGGAGTTGATCCATTCACCAACTTCTCTTTGCGCTGCAGCTGTCGGCTCTACTCTTGCAGAGCCATCTGCAGTTCGTCATTGCTTCCCCAGAAGTCAACCAATGATCATTTATATGCATAGTTATATGTTTTGTTAAAAAATTGATTCAAATTGGAAACATCTGAACCACCCCCACACTGTTGCTTTTATTGTACCTCATGACATCTCTAAGTTGTAATTTACATTTTTACTGTGTTTTTTAACACTGCTTTATATGTCTTTGAGGTTATACACAATAAAACTAATCTTTTGCCCATTCTTTCCTCTCTTGAATTTGAAATTGATGGAATATTAGAAATGTACCTAATATTGAAACAGAGACCATGTTTAGGCTTCTCATCTCTGATCTAAATTCTCTTATTTTCAGGTTTAAGCAGATCCAGCATATCTATTCCAGCTGGTCCATTAGCTCAGCTGATGTAAGCACAGTGCTGATAATGCCAAGGTCATGATTTGTTGCTAGGACAGGTCAGTGAGTTGCTTATCACAGTAGGCTGCAGCACATAGCAACCTTGGCTGATCACAAAAATAATTAAGCAGGTTGGAACTGGTTAACATGTGGCAGGGAAAGCACCAGAAACCCAGAAATATAGGCTAGACTGGGAAGGTAGAAAAATCACTTCCAAACTGCTGCCAAGAAAATTTCATTGAGACACCCATATAGTCACCTACAGTTGTGCTTGTCTTGAGAGAATTTTGTCTTTTTAAAATTTTTTAAGTGCATATTCCAAGTTAGCATTTACACATTCAAGGAGTTTTATTTGTACAACATTGCCACAATGAGTTAGAACTACAAACATAGGATCAGTGGTGATATTACTACATTTTAAGACATAAGACAAATGTGAAACTATATTAGACAATAAATGAGAAGAGAGTTAGTTTCGGGGATAAGCAGGCAGACATAAGAACTAGTTAGGGAAAAATGAGTGGGTTTATTTTTCCATCTTTCGGTGCAACCTGAATTATTGGAAATCGGTAACCAAAGATTTTCACAGCATGGTAGTAAGAAGCTGCATCAGATATGGCTCAGTTCAAAAGTTGGCAACCTCAGTACCTGGGAGAAGAAACAAATTAAATATACTCACTTGAAATAAGAATGAAAGGAAGCAGTATCTGGGAAATATAAGCAAAGGCCAGTAGCAGTATACCTGCTGGATAGTCCCCAGTATCTCTCTACTTAAATCCAACTGCTTCAGAATGCAAATTTCTTACTCTCCGTTTCCATAGTCAGGTATTCTTAGACTCTGGGCCTTTTCATGCATGCACCTAACCATGGCACAAGCATGTTTCTGGCAACTTCTTGTCCTGCTGGGTCTTTATGATGGTGCCATCATCTCATCCCCAGCCCAAAGGGAGCTTGCCTTAAATCAACTTCAGCTGTACCATGGTTAAATAAGTGTTTTTCCCTTACACTGACACCATCCAGAAGTAGCCTTAAAGGATGCTAAACCTCAAAAATGCTTTGACACCCATTTCCTTGGAGAGAAAAGAGACGACTAGCAGTGACAGAAGCAGTAGTGGCAGGACAGGGATTAGCAATGGGAACAGCATTTCATGCTAGTATAGTTTTGGACATTTGGAGAACAAATAGTGTTAGACAAAGGCACTAAGAGGAGAAATAAAACCTGTAGTGCCAAGGAAACATCCAACAACCAGGCTGGCTGTAAACTAAGGATATCCAAGGAGGATCTTCAGGGTCCCCTTACCTTGCTTCTAGACCTCATTTTTTAATAAACAATTTCTATCATGAGTTTGGTGCACTATGTAAGATTTATTTATTTATTAGATCTATTTATATATCTGTCCAATTGACATGCAACTCAGGACAGACAGAACACAGATAGAAACAACACATAACAACAACAATTAAAAGCACAATAAAACCTATAATGCATGAGGCAACTTTAGCCAGTTAAAGCAATCAAAAATAGTCAAGACAAGCACAAAAACCTGACCCAGTACCAGAGGGAGAGTCTTTTGAAAGGGAGGTAGGGTTGGGGTCACCTAGATCTTTGGGGGTGGAATACTTTCCGTGATGCAGGCACAGTGATAGTAACTTCTGAGTGGCCTTCAAGGGCAGCCTCATGTAGTGTACATTGCAGTAATCCAAATGAGAGGTGACTAAGGCATTAGTGACTATGAGTAGGGTCTCCTGGTCCAGGAATGGGCATAATTGGTGCCCAAGATAGATTTGTGCAAAGGGCCTCCAAGCCACAGCTGCCACCTGCTCTTCAAACAGATGTGGCCTATACAAGCTATTATTAATAGCAGCACTAACAGAAAATAGTTCAGATGTATTTCTAAATGTGCTAATTGGTGCAATATGATGGAGTTGTATGCCACAAATCCATGAACACACAGGATACAACATGGAATACAATAATGAGCTCAGCATTGAAGTTTTAACTTTCTGAGAACCTCATTAAAATTTCTAGTCCCAGCTGATGTAGAAGCTTTCTTAAAAATGTGTGAAGAATGCCTACTGGTTTTTATTTAACAAATCTATACCCACCACAATCAACAGTAATCTCAGTGGTTTATAGTAATTAAGGGCATAAAACGAAAGCAGTTATGAATAAAGTATCCACAATACACATAAAACCCACTAAATCCCAGTAATCATAATAAACTACTCATAATTAATCAAGGATGTCCTATCACTTGCCATCACTGTTCCACCACCTGGAGCCTCCCTATGTCTCAAAATTTTCCCACAGCCATGACTTCATTAGTCAATACAGCTCTACCAGCAGTCTTGCTTGCTGCCGTTACACTAGACAATCCAGGTCACATCAACAAGTATTGAAAAGTGACTGACATCAGTGATGCCTCAGCTGGTAAGCCATCACCAACCATGTCCACAAAATCTTTCACTGTTTTCTCTTATCACCATTCTCCAATTCACAGCCCCCAAACTGGCTCCATCCAATCCAATATGTCCACTGTTCAGCTCCAGGAAATCAGATCCATGTCTTGTCTGCTTGAAATATCCCATATATATTTGGCAGCCTCCATTTCCTCTACCAACATCACATTCCAAAACATCCCTTCCCCAAAAACAACCATAACCAGTTCCCATAAAAAACAAAAAAACAAAAAAAAACCCTCATAAGCCAGGGATGGCCTCAGTCTCTACCACCTTCCTGCTCATTAGCAACTGGAAAATAGCATAATTGACATGTAAGGCTCATTGAGTTCAGTGGAAAATGCCAACAACTGCAGAATAAAATGCAAAACAAGCTCTTCAGTTTGCATTAATTTATATAGATTTTTTGGCACAGAATTATCCATTATTTTAACTCAGATGTACATAATTCTGAATGTGATTTTGAATTAACCAAAAATTAGGATATTGAAGTTGCAATAAAATAAAGATTTTTTTGTACATCTGTAACCACATGTGGTCTTTTGGGCTTACAGGCTTTTGGTTTTCCCATTGTCATCCTGGTTTACAAGGAGACATCCTTACACCTCACTACGCAATTCATCTTCATATGTATTTAGCAGTTGTGAAGGATCAGTTCTTGGCACCCTTTCTCATATAAACCTTGAAACGTACAGCTATAATTATTTCAGACCATATATGTTTATTTTGGATGATGTTCAGATTTGTATAAAAGATCTCTATTTTCCACTGCCGTCTGTGAAGATTAAGGTCAGTTTTTTATCCATATCCCCAGCATTTGATCTGTTACTGGAAAAAAGAAGTGGTGATTAGGCTTGGGAGGACTTGGGGTCCTTACAGAGATGGCACACTTATATACATGATACTGTCTCGTCAGAAAACTGAATCATGTATTAAATTCCTCTATGCATAAAAAGGCATAGCTTCTAAGGAGAGGGCTGAGGTTATATACTGCTGTGGCCATGCAGTAGTGCTGAACATTTCACACAGTTATCTCAAGAGAAAGAGAGCTCTGCAGGTTATGCACATATCTACCTCCAACTCCAGGATGATGTGATGCGGAACTCTGTATATCAGAGATGGGGTCCGCTACCTCCTTCTACAACATGCCCCTCCATCTATGTAATGTGTGCAGGGGGGCTGACATGATCAAACAGTATAGCTAACTTATATAACATGGCATTCCAAACTCTAAGGTGAATTGTTGCTGTAGAAATGCATTCTAGAGTAGTGTTCCTCAACCTTGGCGACTTTAAGATGTGTAGACTTCAACTCATTCTGGGAGTTGAAGTCCACACATCTTAAAGTGGCCAAGGTTGAGAAGCACTGCTTTAGAACACAGGTTAGCAATTTTTTCCAGCCTGGGAGTCATGCTTACTTTTGTTTTATCTGAGGACTGTAGGGGATGTGTCCAGTGACATTTTGCTGTTATTGAGTGAGCAGGGCTGAATTTTCCTAGTATAACCTTGCACTTCTGCAAGGATTCAGTTAATAACATCATAAACTCATTTGACTGTTTGCTCAGAAGAATGTCCCACCGGGTTTAATGGGCTTTCTAAAGTTTAAGGCTGAAGCTTCAGTTACCATTAGAAGCTTGGGAGAGCAAAATGGATACTGAATTATAATGAATGCTGAATTTATAGACTCATAACAGGAAGAACAAAAATGGCAACATTGCCTATGCTCCCGTAGTATTACACTAAGTTTTCCTCCTGCTTTTCCCAAACATTCAATATGTTTTTCATTCCCTGAAAATCTGCCAGGATTCTGTCCACAGAGCTTTTGAGGAAAATTAATTGAGGCCAAACTCCCATGAATTTAATATGAAGCCTCTTCTTCTCAAAATTCTGGAGTCTTATAGAAACTGTCTATCTTTATTAACAAATTGTGCTATGAAATTAAGAAGGCTCCTCTTCAATGTTTTTTCCAATTAATGGCCAATGAAGCCTCCCCATATCAAGAGGCTGGCTATCCTCATTTTTAAAGATCCTGTTGCAGTCATCTTTTCCAGATATTTCATGAAACAGGGGTGAAGCAATCTATACATGTGGAAGACTAAGAATATTAGCATTTACTTTAGAATTAAATATGTTCATTCAGGGTGTACTGTGTTTAAAAAATACTAGAGAATGGTTAGAACACCCAATATCTGGAGGTAGGTAAAATGTTACCCCTATCTTCAGAAGGGGAGGGAGAGTAGAATCCAGAAAACTACAGAAGCTAGTCAGTGTGACATTGATACCTGGATAGATTCTTCAGCAGTTCATAAATGACTGAGCAGTAAGAACCTTGAAAATAATGCTAGCAAAATTAGTATTCATTGGTCATGAACAAATCTTGCTAGTTTCACCTTATCTCATTTCTTGATTTGGTCACTTCCCTAGCAGATAGTAGGAATGCTGTAGACATAATATATCTTGAATTCAGCTCAGCAGTTGGCCCACAATATTCTGATAAGCAAGCTAAGTGTGGTCTTGGACTTACCAATTAAGTGGATTCATGGCCAACTCAAAATTATACTCACACTTATCAAAGGTTCCTCAGTAAATTAGAGAGAGGTATCAAGTGTGGTGCAACAAGATTCAATCCTGGGCCAGTACTCTTCAACATTTGTATTAATTACTTGGATAAGAAGATGGAAGGAAGTCTTATCAAATTCTCAGATGATCCAAACTTGTGAGGAATAACTAATTGGGTTGTGCAAATTTTTTAAAAAGTGCTTTGAAATCTGTGGGAGCTTGTACAAAGACTTCTTTTCAAATAATTAAAGCAGTCATGTTGTTTTCTAGGCTTACGCAGCTGCTTCAGAAGCTGCTCCTCATGGTTACCTCTGCATGCATAGTCACTTCACTTTGCATATGGAGACAGATTTAAGCAGTCATGCAGTTCTGGAAAAAAGACTTGCCTGCTTCAACAATAAAAAAAAGTTTTGTACGTACTCCCATACATTCTGAAACATCTGTTTCAAAGGATTTGCATAGCCCAAATAGTTAACATTTTAGAAGAGTGAAGTAAAATTCAAAACTATGTTACCTCCACCAGAAATGGGTTGCAAATGACAAAATGATATTTAAGAAATGCAAAGTCAAATACAGAGTTCTACATTTAGGAAACAGAAATCAAATGGACAGGTAGCGGTTGGGGAATATCAGGTTTGATAATAGGACTGTGAAAGAGAATTTATAGTAGCAGTTGAATACAACCTGAATATGAATTAACATTGTTTATGTGACTACAAAATGAATGAATACAATTTCAGACTACATTAACAATACAGTAGTATAATTCTTAAATGAAGGGAATTAATTATCTCATTTTATCCTGCATTGCTAAGACCCCACTACAAGTATATATCCAATTCTGAGCACCACATTTATGGAGGATTCAGAGGAACCAGAATAGATTGAGAGAAGGGAAGTGAGGTTGATAAAGGGATTAGAAACTAAGTACCATGAAGACAGATTGAAAGAGCTGGGCATGTTTCACTTTGACAAGTCTGAGGGGATGAGGGATTTGACATCACCCTTCAAATACCTGAAAGACTGACACATAGAAGAAGGTGAAGATCTGTTCTCTATGATTTCAGTGTGCAAGGCATGGAATAATGGATTTTAATTATAGGTAAGAGCAATCTAGCCCCAATTACCCAAGGGTTACTCCATTAGATGTATTAAAGGAGATGCTAAGCAGCCATTTGTTTATGTAAAGATTTCCTTAAGCCAAGCTTGATTCCTGGAGATGACATAGACACTGCCATGCAATAGTCTTAGCAACTATATAGAAGAGGTTTACCACTATTCATCTTCCATATTTTATTTTATTTTTTTTCCATTTAGCCTACAGCCCTGGAATTTCTGGGTGATCTCTCATACAAGTACTAATCAGGCCCAGTCATGCTTAGTTTTTAAGCTCAGGCAAGGTTGGGCAGATGCTGGCACCCACTGAGGCACCCTCGGTTGAGGGTGCTTTAGTTTGGATTCTCGATCACCTAAATGGTTCCTTCCAACTTCTATCTTGTTAAATCCTGAATTTTGTAGAATGTTTAGTCTGGTGGCATAAATTATGGCAATATCAAGGGTGGAGGTGAGCAAAACAGCTTTTCCCACTCTGGTGTCTCCTGATGTGTCCCCCAGATTCCCAGCTAGGATGGCCTATACTCATTGAAGATTATGAAAGTCACAACATAACACACCTAGATGATAGCACATTAGAGAATGCTGCAAAAGAAGAAAGAGGAAGATGCAACGTATTTCTTGGATACATCTCAGGATCTGATGACAACGGCTACAAAAACTCATGACCTAAAAATTTATTAAACTTTAGGCTATCAATTTCTGCTGGTTTCTCCAAAATTCTAAAAAAGATGCTATAGAATATGACCTTTTGTCTCTATCTTTGTTTGTTTACACATACCCACTGCAATCAATGTGAATTGGTAGTTACAGTAATTAAGAGCAAAACAACAAAAGCATAAAAATTAAAATACAGTGGTACCTCTACTTACGAACGCCCCTACTTATGAAATTTTCGAGATACGACCAGCTCCGGCCCCAAAAATTTACCTCGATGTGTGAACTCCGCCTCGAAGTACGGCCATTTTTCTACCCTGACACGTGGTCCGCAGCCATTTGTCCGTCCTGACACGTGGTCTGCGGCCATTTTTCCGCCCCCGACACGTGGTCCACGGGCGTTTTTTTGCCCCGCCGCGCAGCGCGCAGGCGTTTTGCCACCCCACCGTGCCCCTGACGGGGGGCGCGCGGGTGTTTGGCCGCCCCGCCGTGCGGCACGCGGGCGCTTTTCCACCCGACGCGTGGTCTGCGGACGCCAGAATGGATTAATGGTAATTACATT